GTGGCCTCGTCCGGGGCCCCTTGGCCTTCCTGCTGGGGTGGTGGGAGAGGGCTGGTGGCTCCTTGGCTCATAGGTGCTGCCGGCCGGGTCCCAGTGCCCCAGGCTCCAGCTGGCACCTTTGAGCTCTCAAATGTGCTCCTGTGCCCTCCAGTTTCTGGCCAAGAAACATCTTAGGCAATGACAGCAAATTTAGTCCAAAAATACATTTATTTATAATAATAATTCTTTAAATAATCTCTGAAGAATACAGTGTCATTATAGTTTAAAAACAAAAAAAGCAAGCTGTGTCTCTTTTCACTTCAAACTATAGCCTTTTAGTAATCGTTGGAGGACTCTGCGTAAATCTGCTAGGAAATCACGCAGTGAGGTAGTGTTGCCTGCTGCCACGGGACACAGTGTCTGTAATAACAGGTAAAAAACGGCCGTTAAGATGCTTGCTTCAGGGGGCTGGCTCGGCAGCGTGGGCTTGGCTGCTGATGGTGCTGTGGGAGAGGGCTGGGCGAAAGCGAAATCGGTGACCGAGGGAGAAGCTGGATGTGCAGAAATCTCAAAGGCTGAGGGCTGGGTGGCCCCAGCACGGTCCAAGGGCTGCGAGGGGAGAGCCTCGGAGAGCCTTGCCTTACCTTGTGGGCTGCGCTCTTCCTTCCGACCAGGTAGCGCAAGTTGAGGTAAATGCCCTCCAGCTGCTTGTGGCAGCTCCGGCCCTCCCAAGCGACCGTGGTGGCTTCGCATAAGATCTCAGTGTCGTTTCTCTGGAAAAAGAAAGACGCGTGTGACTTTTTTAGAAACCCTTTTGTACAATTGCAGCTTCACTAGCAGCAGATTAAAACAGCATAAATAATCCATTTCTGTTCTAAAGTGCAGGTGCAAAGGACAGCTTGAGATGCCAAAGCCTCCCCGAAGCTTGCCTGCCATGTGTGTGCACACGGGGGTCTGTTCCTGACCCCGACAAGGAGGGTGCCGTCAGCCGCCGATGAGAAGTTGTCGCAGAATTTGGCACAGCAGTGAGCACCCACGTGCTTCGAGCATCGTGCTCCCGTCGCAGGCGTGAGTGTGGGACCCTGTGCTCGGGGACAGCTTGAGATGCCAAAGCCTCCCCGAA